GGTAGGCCCCGCTGTACCCGCCCCCTCCCGGTCCGTTCCGCCAGTCAGCACAGAGAGCCGTGACAGGATGGAGAGGTGAGCGAACGCCGGTATGTGTTCGCTCACCTCCCGATCTACTGAGCCGACCTGGGACAGTCTCATTGTCACAGGTCGGCTAGAACTATGAGGTGAGTGAAAAGCACCCCCCTCATAGTTCTCCTTTTAATGTGACAATGTTCAAGCCTGACAATTGGCCGCTTGGGCTAAGAGCTGCATCATGGGAGGAGGTCACATGCTCTCCCCTGGAAGCCCATGCCCCTACCAGTATCTAGGTTGGGGCAACGGCTTTAACGGGGCCCTGTCCCTTTCCCCCAAATGGGGGTACCATTTAATGCTGGAAAACCACTAAGCACATTTAATGACCCGTCTTTCTTGTCGCAGGAGAAAAACCCTACAAATGCTCATGGGAAGGCTGCGTATGGAAATTCGCCAGATCCGACGAGCTCACCCGCCACTTCCGGAAACACACTGGTATCAAGCCCTTTATGTGCTCGGACTGTGACCGAACATTCTCCCGCTCTGATCACCTGGCGTTGCACCGCAGAAGGCACATCATGATGTGACATAGTTCCCCGGGAAGTGTGGCAACATGGACGCATTGAAGGAGGCTTTTCACTTCTTTACATTTGACTGACGGACGTGATACCTTCTCACTTTATTATGGTTTTTCACCGTTTGTGGGCATCATTTTTTATTTTTTTGGACCCGTGTTCCCTTGTTTTTGTGTTTTACAAGATTTCTCTACTTTTTTTTTTTTTCCGCGTTCTGTTCAGATCGCCGTCTTCTCCTAAGGTCATCTTGGCTGCTGAGAAGCATAGGCATAGAGCCGTTGAAACAAATTATGTAACCTTGCCCTAGCATGACACAAAGGCAGGTTGGAGGATATCTAAACCCGAGTCCTTAGATGTGGTGGCTGCATTGGTTTTCCTTTTTCCATCAAGTATAGAAGAGACCTGTTGATCCTGGCAGAAATGGCCCATCCCTGTCACTTCCTGGGAGCTGAACTTGAAAGCATAAACAATCTTCACTTCCTTCCAAGCTATCTTCTGTAAAGCCCCTTTACCCCATGTGCTGGAGGTGAAAAGAAGAAGACATGTTTGTAGTCCAAATCAGGAGAGTAGCCTAGGGTGACAACCGTGGTTTCCTCTGTAGATACAGTGGAGTAGTTCGCGTAGCCACCCTAGGATAGGATGCGTGGTAGAAGGAGGATCAGCAGGTAAAAATAAAGAAAAAACAGCCCCCACATCTCAAGACTGGTAAGCTGCAATGTATACATTTTTTAGGGGGGGGTTTCAGGCGCTCTACGTCTGAAAGGGAAAGGCCAAAGCTTTATTAAAACAGTACAAATAATTTCCAACGTATATTATATAACATGTGCCAGTCATAAGTTTACAGTGAACACACCTCAACATGCCGAAATGGCCATCCTTACCATGAGTGGCACCGGACTTCCCCCATTAATCAATAGACAACCCCCCAGCATGGACGAGCCACCAATAAAGCTGTGATGACCATGCTCTGATGAAGGACGGATGGGCAAGCAACTCTTCAGTCACATGGCAAACCTTGTAATTAACCTCAGCACAATACTTCAGAGCTCACCCCAAACCCAACAGCCTACATCAAAAAAAGCCCATCTGGCCTTCACCAAATATTAACATGACTCATAGGCACAGCCCTTCAATGGTGCCATGCTTCCATTCGTCAAGACTCCCTTTCCCGAAGACTCGAGACGACCTCATGACTTTCTTTGTTTTCTCCTGTTATGTCTACTCGCTATGGTCTGACTTCTGTCGTTACCACTCACACGAGCACAAAAAAGCACAGTATTGAAGAGTCCTTTTCCTATTCCACCAGCATCTTGGTTTCTTCCACTCCTCCAAAAGTGCCACCTCCTTCGGCCTCAGGATATATCTAAAGGGAAGGAAACGGGACGACGAGTGTTTCTAGCTCGATGGATACGTCCAGTTGGGTGGCCCCTCACCCACCTTAAGGGTTCTCTGAGGGGATCCTCATCGGAGCGTTAGGTACACCCCTGTGGTGGACATGTTGCAATATATAGGTGATGCAGGTACTTCTATATATAAGAAAAGCCACTGTTTTAGGGTCACTTTAATTAAAATTGGATTCATCTTTTATTTAAAATTGTTAATTTTAGTTTCTATGACTATTTTAATTTTAAGCATGTAACTTTAATTTTGTGCGTTTTTAGCTTTCGAAAATGTGTAATTTTTTTTTTTTTTTTTTTTTTAAATACATTTTTTAAAAAATTTATTTTTTC